ATCGCCAGGGAGACCTCTTGTCGCCTTAGTTATCAAGGCAGGGGCGAGAAGGGCGAACGCCCGTCGGCGCTTTGCAATTCCAGCAGGTACTTGCGGAAGATCTGTCCCAGTACCTGGGTAGCCACCTCCAGTTCATCGCGCTGCATGTGTTCGGCGACTTCGTCGGCTGTGTCCAGCGCGTCTTCGGCGCCGTTGACCGCCGCCATTTTCAACACGATGTAAGCCTGGACGTTATTGGCCGGTACACCTTCACCGTGGAAGAACATGTTACCCAGCTCGAATTGCGCCTGCGCGTGGCCCTGTAACGATGCTTTTTCGAAATAGCTCAGGGCTTTGTTGAGGTCGCGAGCGGGGTTTTTGCTGTCATGGTAGTACTCGCCCAACTCGTATTGCGCCTGGGCATCCCCGTCGTCGGCCTGTTTCTGGCACGCGCTCAGCGCTTCGGCCTGGCTGTCTGGCTGGGTATTGAGGGTGCAACGACCCATCGCTGGGATTAACAACGAGTTGCCGCCTGCTTGTGCATGTGCCAGCAGCGGCTGAAGGAGCAACAGGCAGCCCAGAACCAGGGTGCGGCCGGTGCGTTTCATGGGAATCGACTTACCTCTGACGGGGCGCGCGGATCCTCGTGGGATCCAATAAGCGCGCATTATGAAATAAGCAGGCCCCTGCTTACAAAGTCTTTACTCGTTTTTCTGCTGGTTGGGCAAGTTATCTGCCGGATTTCAGGTTATTTCTCGAAAAAACTCGGAAATATCCGTAGGCAAAGTAGTCCATCAGGCGCCACTGGGGTGGCGCCTACCGGTTTCAAATGTTTATTTCAGAGCGGCGAAGGCGCGTTCAGCGGCATCGAGGGTCAGTTTCAACTCGGCGTCGCCATGGGCGATGGAGGTGAAACCGGCTTCGAACGCGCTTGGCGCCAGGTAAACGCCGCCCTCGAGCATCAGGTGGAAGAAGCGCTTGAACAGGTCCGCATCGCTGCCCATCACGTCGTCGAAGGTGACGATATCGTCGGCGCCGCTGAAATACAGGCCGAACATACCGCCGGCCTGGGTGGTGACGAATGGGATACCGGCCGCATCGGCGCGCTGTTGCAGGCCGTCGAGCAGGCGCGTGGTGTAGTCGGTCAGTTCGGCGTGGAAGCCCGGACGGCTGATCAACCGCAGGGTGGTCAGGCCGGCGGCCATGGCCAGCGGGTTACCCGACAGCGTGCCGGCCTGGTACACCGGGCCCAGCGGGGCGATGTGCTGCATGATTTCGCGCTTGCCGCCGAAGCAGCCCACCGGCATACCGCCGCCGATGATCTTGCCGAAGGTGCTCAGGTCCGGCGTGACGCCGTAGTACGCCTGCGCGCCGCCCAAGGCTACGCGGAAACCGGTCATCACTTCGTCGAAGATCAGCACCACGCCATGTTTGTCGCATTGCTCGCGCAGGCCTTCGAGGAAGCCCGGCGCCGGCGGTACGCAGTTCATGTTGCCCGCCACCGGCTCGACGATGATGCACGCCACCTCCTGGCCGACTTCACTGAGCATGTGCTCCACGGCGGCGATGTCGTTGAAGGGCAGGGTCAGGGTGTGTTTGGCGAACGCCGCCGGCACACCGGCCGAGCTCGGTACGCCTTGGGTCAGCGCGCCGGACCCGGCCTTGACCAGCAGGCTGTCGGAGTGGCCGTGGTAGCAGCCTTCGAACTTGATGATGCTGTCGCGCCCGGTAAAGCCGCGAGCCAGGCGGATCGCACTCATGGTGGCTTCGGTGCCGGAACTGACCATGCGCACCATCTCCATCGACGGCACGATGGAGCACACCAGGTCAGCCATCTCGGTTTCCAAGGCGGTCGGCGCGCCATAGGACAGGCCGTGTTCCAACTGCTTGCGCACGGCGTCCAGCACGTCCGGATGGCTGTGGCCGAGGATCATCGGGCCCCACGAGCCCACGTAGTCCACGTAGCGCTTGTCGTCTTCGTCAGTGACGTAGGCGCCTTCGGCATGTTTGAAGAACAACGGCGTGCCGCCCACGCTTTTGAACGCACGCACGGGGGAGTTCACACCACCGGGGATGTGTTTCTGGGCATTGGCAAACAGGGTTTCGGAACGGGACATGAGCGGGCTCTCTAAACTGAAGATTTAAGAAGGTCGTTGAAGGCGCGGGCGCGGCGCGTCACTTCCTGGGTGCTGTCGGCACCGAACAGGCCGTGGACCACGGCGAGCAGGTCGGCGCCCTGGGCCACCAGCGGTTCGGCGTTCTCCAGAGTGATGCCGCCGATCACGCAGATGGGCACATGCAGGCGCTGATGCGCTTCGGCCAGCATCTCCAGCGTGGCGGCCGGGGCGCCGGGCTTGGTGTTGGAATTGAAGAAGCGGCCAAACGCCACGTAACTGGCGCCTTCCTTGGCGGCCTGTTCGGCCAGTTCGATCTGGCTGTGGCAGGTGGCGCCGATAATGGCTTTGGGGCCGAGCAGCGCACGGGCCGGGGTGAGCGGGCCGTCGGTCTGGCCCAGGTGCACGCCGACGCCCAGGCGCGCGGCCAGTTCGGCGTCGTCGTTGATGATCAGTTGGGTCTTGTAGCGCGAGCACAGTTCTCGCAGCTTTTCGGCTTCGCGCAGGCGGCGCGCGTCATCGCTGCTTTTGTCGCGGTACTGCAGCAGGGTCACGCCACCGTCCAACGCCGCTTCGACGTAGGCTAGGAATTTGCCGGCCAACAGTTGGCCGTCGGTTATGGCGTAAAGGCCACGTAATTTCATCGGGCATGTCCCTTGAAGTGGCGAGCAGGCGCCTACGAGCAGAAATCCAGCGGCAGCCGGCGCGGTACGAACTGGCCCTGGCCGAGTTGTTCGGCGTCACGCAACGTGCGCCAAGTGTAGTTGAGGGCCGATTGCACGGCGCTGACCAGGCCCTCGCCCTGGGCGAGACGCCCGGCCAAAGCACTGGCCAGCGTGCAGCCCGAACCGTGATAGCTGCCCGGCAGGCGCTGACAGGTGAAGGTCTGGCGCGTGCCGTCGCGGCTATATAGGCGGTTGTGCACTTCATGCTCGTCGCCATGACCACCGGTGATCAACAGGTGTTTGATAAACGGCAGCAGCTTGTCGGCGCACTCGTCCGCCGTGCCTTCGGGCAGCTCGGCGAGGATACGTGCCTCGGGCAGGTTCGGCGTGGCGATCAGCGACAGCGGCAACAACCGCTCACGCATCGCGTAGCCCACTTCGTCCTTGCCCAGGCTACCGCCACCACCGGCGCGCAGCACCGGGTCGCAGACTACCGGCAGGTGCGGGTGCGCCTGCAGCAGCTCGACTACGGTGTCGACCATCGCGGTGGAGCCGAGCATGCCCAGCTTGACCGCCGCCACCTCGGAGTCGCTGAGCACGGCGTTGGCCTGGGCCAGCACCCACTCGCGGTCGAGCACGCGGAAGTCGCTGACGTTCACCGTGTTCTGCACGGTCAGCGCGGTGACGGCCGGAGCCGCATGGCAACCCTGGGCGAGCAGGGCTTCGATATCTGCCTGCAAGCCGGCGCCACCACTGGGATCATGGCCGGAGAGACAGAGGACAACAGGGCGAGAGCTGTAGATATTCATGGTGGGCGAGCTTACCACCAAACGCTTTTTGCGTGGCCTTCGGGCGGTGGCTGAATGTTGTCGCACCCGGCGAGTTTCTTTTGCTGCCTGAAACCCTGAAAAACAGCGCTGAAAGCCTTGATCTAGAGCCTTTCAAAAAATTATTTCAATGGTGTCCAATGGCCTGCAACGGCTATGCTAGAGTGGATTCAAACAACTTATCTGTACCGCCGGTGTACGTCTTCTCAAAAGGAATGGGGGGCTTTTGATATAACCGGACAGGCCACGCTGGGGCTCTATGCGCTATTTGCTGATTCTATTGTTGTGCGGGCTGCCGATGCTCGCCAGCGCCATTGAGTTCAACCAGGACACCCGAAGCCTGCCCCTGGGCCGAGCCCTGCAAGTGCTCGAAGACCCGAGCGCCGCCCTCACCATTGCCGATGTCAGCGCGCCTTCCGCGCTCGCGCAATTCAAGCTCCACGATAAGGACACCCTCAACGCCGGCTATTCGCGTTCGGTGTTCTGGCTCAAGCTCAATCTGCACTATGTGCCCCACAACGCCGAGGCCCGACGCACCTGGCTGCTGGAGCTGGCGTACCCGCCGCTGGACCATCTGGACCTGTACCTGCCCGACAGCACGGGCACCTATCGTTTGGTCAGGCGCACTGGAGATGCGTTGCCGTTCGCCAGTCGCGAGATCCGTCAGAACAACTACCTGTTCAAGTTGGATTTCACCCCGGGCGAGGATAAAACCGTTTATCTGCGAGTGCAGAGCGAGGGCTCGATTCAGGCGCCGCTGACCCTCTGGTCGAGCACCGCGTATCTGGAACAGCAGCCGCTGCGCCTGTATGTGCTGGGTCTGATCTATGGCGTGTTGCTGGGGATGCTGGTTTATAACCTGTTCATCTACCTCAGCGTGCGCGACACCAGCTACTTGTATTACATCTTCTATATCGCCTCGTTCGGTCTGTACCAGTTGTCGGTAAACGGCGCGGCGGTGGAATATTTCTGGCCCAACAACCCTTGGTGGACGAACGCCGCGACACCGTTTCTGATCGGCGCGTCGGCGCTGTTCGGCAGTCTGTTCGCGCGCAGCTTTTTGCACACCGCTCAACACAGTCGCTGGATCAACCGTGTGTTGCTGGCGCTGGTGGCGTGCGGGGCAGTGGTCATGCTGCTGTCGTTGATGACCAGCTACGCGCTGGCGTTGCGTCTGGCCACGGGCCTGGCGCTGGTGTTCACCGTGACCATCTTCGTCGCCGCCATCAAGGCCTGGTACTGCGGGCAGAGGGTGGCGCGTTACTTCATCATCGCCTGGTCGGCGTTCCTGCTGGGCGGGGTGGTCAACACCCTGATGGTGCTGGGCTATCTGCCCAATATGTTCCTGACCATGTACGCCAGTCAGATCGGTTCGGCGATTGAAGTGGCACTGCTGTCCCTGGCCCTGGCCGACCGCATCAACGCCATGCGCGAGCAGCAGGCGCAGATTCTGTTCGATGCCAGCCAAAAGCTCGAAGTGCTTAACTCCCAATTGGCCCGCAGCAACCGGCTCAAGGATGAGTTTCTCGCCACCCTGACCCACGAACTACGCACGCCGATGAACGGCGTGATCGGTTCCCTGGAACTCATGCAGACGGTGCCCCTGAGTCACGATCTGGCCCAATACCATCAGACCGCCGCCGGCTCCGCGCGGGACATGATGCGCATGGTCAATGGCATCCTCACCCTCACCGAATTGCAGGCCGGTCGCCTGAGTGCGCAACACCGCGTGTTCAGCCTGCGTGGCGTGCTCAACAGCCTGCGCCAGCAATTTAATACCAGCGCCCAGGGCAAGGGCCTGGCGTTTTCCATCGACGTGGCGGATGAGCTGCCGGACCGTCTGGAGGGGGATGTCGACAAGCTTATTCAGTGCCTGGATTGCCTGCTGGACAATGCCTTCAAATTCACCCACGAAGGTTCGGTACGCCTGCGCGTGGTGGGAGTGCCTCACCGCGACGGCGGCGTGCACCTGAGTTTTATCGTGACTGACACCGGCATTGGTTTTGCCTCCCTGGATGAGGCCACGCTGTATCAGCGCTTCTTCCAACTGGATGGATCGACCACCCGCGAATACGGCGGGTTGGGCATCGGTCTGGCGATCTGCCGGCAATTGATCGAACTGATCGGCGGGCGCCTCACCCATCATTCCGAACCCCGCAAGGGCAGTCGCTTCCAGCTCGAAATGCAGGTGCGCTCGGTTCCGTCCGAAGCCAAGCCGGCGCCGGCCCGGCAACGAGCGCCGCAGGATTGCGCGGTGTTGTTGGTGGATGACAACAGCGTCGGTCAACTGGCCGTGCGCGGCATGCTGCTCAAGCTCGGCTATCGGGTCAAAACCGTCGACAGTGGCCCTGCGGCGTTGGAGGCGCTGCAAGCGCAGGCGTTTGACGCGGTTCTGTTGGACCTTCCCGAAGGAAGCTTCTCTGTGTGCTGTCAGATCCGCGCACTGCCTGGTGGGGGAGAATTGCCGGTGATCGCCCTGGGTACATCGTCGAATGTGCCTGAGCGAGAGCGGTGCCTGGGCGTAGGTGTCACTGAGCGTTTGACCAAACCGGTGCGTTTCGAGGCGCTGCAAGCGGTGATGGAGCGCTGCGTGCTAGGGGTTTTAGAGGGTGAAAGCGCCGCGCATTCGGCGCGTATGTCACTTTTTTAAGCGCGGTAGCGGTGCTTAACTGAAAAAACCGGCCTCAACTGAGCGTGGCCTTTTTTCCAGGACGCCCGTGATGAACCTGCATCAATTTGCCGAAACCCACGACGTGACCAACCAACCGCCCTCCCTGGACGGCGTCAACCTGTACCGCATCGACCTGCCCCTGCAAGAGTGGTCGCGACGTTTCGGCGCCGGTTGGGCGCACTCGCGCATCGATACCTATGGCGCATTGGCCGGCGGGCCGTTGATGGCGGCTGGGTTTCTGGCCAATCAACACAAACCGGTGTTCAACAGCCACGACCGTTACGGTCACCGCATTGATCTGGTTGAGTTTCACCCCGCCTATCACGAGCTGATGCGCACCGCCGTCGAACATGGCCTACCTTCGCTGCCCTGGGCTCATCCGCAGGCCGGCGCCCATGTGGCCCGCGCCGCCATGACCTACCTGCACAGCCAGGCCGAAGCCGGCAGCGGTTGCCCATTGACCATGACCTTTGCCTGCGTACCGGCGTTGCGGTTGCAGCCGGATTTGGCCAAGACCTGGCTGCCGAAAATCCTCAGCACCCAATACGACCCGCGCAACGTCGGCATCGCCCACAAGGCCGGTGCCACCCTCGGCATGGCCATGACCGAGAAGCAAGGCGGCACCGACGTGCGCGCCAACACCACCCGGGCTTATCCGGTGGGCGCTGGCGGCCCTGGGCAGGCGTATGAGCTGGTGGGCCACAAGTGGTTCTGTTCCGCGCCGATGTGCGATGGGTTCCTCACGCTGGCCCAGACTGACAAGGGCCTGAGCTGTTTCCTACTGCCAAGGCACCGCCCGGATGACACCCGCAACGAGTTCTACATCCAGCGCCTGAAAAACAAACTCGGCAATTGTTCTAACGCCTCCAGCGAAGTGGAGTTTCGCGGCGCCCTGGCCTGGATGGTCGGCGAAGAAGGCCGTGGTGTGCCGACCATCATCGAGATGGTGGCCATGACCCGCTTCGATTGCATGGTCGGCTCCAGCGCCCTGATGCGCCAGGCCCTGACCCAGGCCAGCCATCATTGCGCCCATCGCTCGGTGAGCGGCCGCGTGCTCAGCGAGCAACCGCTGATGCAAAACGTGCTGGCCGACCTGGCCCTGGAAAGTGAAGCATCCCTGGCCTTGAGCATGCGCATGGGGAGGGCGTTGGACCATTTGGATGACGAGCAGGAGAGTAAATTCGCACGGCTGGTGACGGCGGTGGGCAAGTATTGGATCTGCAAACGCGCGCCGGCCATGATCAACGAGGCCGCCGAGTGCATGGGCGGCGCCGGTTATGTGGAGGACAGCATCCTGCCGCGCCTGTACCGTGAGGCACCGGTGAATTCAACGTGGGAAGGCTCCGGCAACGTGCAATGCCTGGATGTGCTGCGTGCGCTGTCCAAGGAACCGGGCGTATTGGAGACGCTGTTTATCGAACTGGGCAATGGCCACGGCGACCGGCATTTGGCGCGGCATATCGAACAGCTAAAGTCAGCTTTTATGGATACCCAGGACATCCAATACCGCGCGCGGCAGTTAACCGAGGACATTGCCGTGGCCTTGCAGGCCAAGCTGTTGTTGGAGGCGGGGAATGCCGCGGTCAGCGACGGTTTTATTGCCAGCCGCTTGAGCGATTCCTCCGGCCGCGCTTATGGCGCCTTGCCGCGAGGTGTGGATGTGGCGGCGATTGTCGCCCGCTCAACGCCTTCTGTTTCTGAATAAGCCCGGTCCAAAGGGGGGAGGGGGCAAGCCTCTCCCACATTATTGAGTGCATTCCAACGCCACTGTTTCGGTGCGGCTGGGATGCAGGCAAGATACAGGCCTGCATGTCAGAACACAGGATGCTTACCGTGACCGAAGCTTTTGTTGTCGTTAAAACCGCCGAAGAAGCCGTGGACCGGCTGGCGGCTCTGCATGAGCGAGCTACCGGCGCGCTCAATCAGGCCCTCAAGCAATACCTCAAGGACCGCGTCGAACCCGACGCCGAGCAACGCGCGCTGTTCCGCTACCCCGAGCTGCGCCTGACCTACCACTGCCACGGCGAAGTCCCACAGACCACCCGCGCCTATGCCAAGGTGCAACTGCCGGGCACCTACAGCGTGACCGTCACCCATCCTGCGGCGTTCCGTAAGTACCTGCTGGAGCAACTGGTGCCGTTGATGCACGACTTCACCGTGACGGTGGAAGTGGGCGTCAGCCAACAGAATATTCCTTACCCGTATGTGGTCGAGCAGGGCGATGAACTCGCCGGCTCCGGCGTGACTGCTGCCACCCTGGCCCGCGTATTCCCGAGCACCGACCTGTCGGCCGCCACCGACGGCATCGCCGATGGTCTGTATGACTGGGAAAACACCAACCCACTGCCCCTGGCGCTGTTCGATGCGGCCCGCGTGGACTTTTCCCTGCGCCGCCTGGTGCATTACACCGGCAGCGACTGGCGCCACGTACAACCCTGGATTCTGCTGACCAACTATCACCGCTATGTCGACCAGTTCATCCTGCATGGCCTGGAACAATTGCGCAGCGACCCACGTTTTATCCGCATGGTGCTGCCGGGCAACGTGGTGATCGACAAGAGCATGGATCACGGCGAAGCCTCGGCCATTGCCGCCGGCGTGGTCTGGCACCGCTACCAGATGCCGGCCTATCACTTGCAGGCCAGCGATGGTCACGGTGTGACCCTGGTCAATATCGGCGTGGGCCCGTCCAACGCCAAGAACATCACCGATCACCTGGCCGTACTGCGTCCGCATTGCTGGCTGATGATTGGCCACTGCGGCGGCCTGCGCCAATCCCAGACCATCGGTGACTACGTCCTGGCTCACGCTTATATGCGTCGCGATGGCATCCTCGACCGTGTGGTGCCGCCGAATATCCCGATCCCGGCCCTGGCCGAAGTGCAACTGGCGCTCCAGCAAGCGGCGGCCCACGTTACCGGTGAAAAAGGCGAACAGCTGAAAAAACGCCTGCGCACCGGCACCGTGCTGACTTACGACGATCGCAACTGGGAGCTGCGCTGGGCCCAGGAGCGACCGCTGATCAACCTGTCCCGCGCCGTGGCCGTGGACATGGAAAGCGGCACCATCGCCGCCCAGGGCTATCGCTTGCGGGTGCCGTACGGCACGTTGCTGTGTGTATCGGATAAACCGCTGCACAGTGAAATCAAATTGCCTGGTTCGGCCAACGCGTTCTATGAGCGCGCAGTGAGCCAGCACTTGAAGATTGGCATCGAAGCGGTGGACCTGCTGCGCAACGAACTCAACTCGCTGCACTCGCGCAAACTGCGCAGCTTCGACGAGCCGCCGTTCCGCTAAGCGGTTGGGATGGTCATTTAACGGTCAGGCCACTAGCATTGTCGGTCCTGACCGTTAGATGTTGTTCTGCCATGTCTCGTCCCACCCGTCCCGATTCGCGCCGCCCTGGCGTGAAACCTCCGTATTCCGCTGCGCGTCGCGTTGCCAAGGCGCCGCCGGCCGAGCCGAAGTTGATCCTGTTCAATAAACCATTCGACGTGCTGACCCAGTTCAGCGACGAAGGCGGGCGCGCGACGCTCAAGGACTTCATCGACATTCCCGGCATCTACCCGGCGGGCCGTCTGGACCGTGACAGCGAAGGCTTGCTGCTGCTGACCAACGATGGCCAGTTGCAGGCGCGCATTGCCGACCCTAAGCACAAGTTGGCGAAAACCTACTGGGTGCAGGTGGAGGGCGAACCCACGGAAGAATTGCTGCAACGCCTGCGCGATGGGGTAGAACTCAACGACGGCAAAACCTTGCCCGCCGAGGCTCGGCGCTTGGATGAGCCCGCGTTATGGCCACGCAACCCACCGGTACGCTTTCGCAAAAACATCCCGACGTACTGGCTTGAACTGGTGATTCGAGAAGGGCGTAACCGCCAAGTGCGGCGCATGACCGCCGCCGTGGGCTTGCCGACCCTGCGGCTGGTGCGGGTGCGCATTGGCGATTGGACAATCGACGGCCTGGACCAAGGCCAATGGAAGGAAGTCCCGGCGCGTTTATAAAGCGCCGGATTCGATCAGGCCAATCACCACGCTTTTGATGATAAACGCCGCCACGCCCAGGCCCAGCACGAAGAACAGGATGAACGAGCCGAAGCGTCCGGCCTTGGATTTCTTCGCCAGGTCCCAGACGATAAAGCCCATGAAAATAATCAGAATCGTGACCAGGCCGGTCATCATCCATTCTTCAAACAGGGCGGGGTCGATGTTGTTCATGGGCTCTTCCAACGGGGCAGGCGGCGAGTATAGGGCAGTGTCACAAGCGCAACATTGACCTGGATCGAAGTGCAATCAAAATGTGGGCGGGGGTCAGCTATGGATAAGCTGACTGAAGTATTGCTATCGGGTGCAAGCCCCCTCCCACATTTGATCTTCATTGACCTTAGGTGCGTAGGTGGGTCAGTGGCAGCTCTGTGCTGTTGAGCACTTGGTTGAGTACAAAGCTTGAACGTACGCTGGTTACGCCTTCAATACGGGTTAAGTGCCCTAGCAGCAATTTCTGATAGTGATCCATGTCCGGCACCACCACCTTCAACTGATAGTCCGCATCCATGCCGGTGACCAGGCTGCATTCCAGTACCTGGGGCAGGGTGCGGATGGCGGCTTCGAAGTTTTCGAAACGTTCGGGGGTGTGGCGGTCCATGCCGATCAGCACGTACGCGGTCAGGCTCAGGCCGAGCATCTTGCGGTCGAGCAGGGCGACCTGGCGCGCGATGTAGCCATCGTCTTCCAACTGCTTGACCCGGCGTGAGCACGGCGACGGCGACAGGCCGATGCGTTCGGCCAACTCCTGGTTGGAGATCCGCGCATCGCGCTGCAATTCAGCCAAAATACTCAGGTCATATCGGTCAAGCTTGCTCATTGGGTTGGCCTTTGTCGTAACTATTGCGGCGAATTATCTATGAAGGGTTAAAAATTGCGCAAGCACTGTTTATTGACGCAATCTTCGCAATCATCTGTCGGGCGCTGGCGCGTATCGTTAGCAACAGAATCACCGCCTGGACAACAGTCCACTGCAGCTCGCCCAATCAGGCCCGCTGCGGCCGCCACCCCAGCAGGGTTGAGCCGGCCTCCAGGCTGCACACTGTCCACAAGACGGCGTGAGGTGAGCCAACGTCAAAAGCGTTGAGCCAGGACGAAATTCTCAAGGGGTGGCCGACGGGTCGCCCCTTTTCTTTTGCCTTAAGAAAATTGTTCTCGTGACTGATAACCTGTCTCAGAACCGGGCGAGGCTTTCCCAGTCTCATGTTCAAGCCCTGAATCGCAGTGAGGAAAAGCATGAAGCGCATCTGGCGTTTGGCAGGTGTTGGTTTGCTGGTGGTCGGTGTCGGCACGCAGGTATTGGCCGACGAGCGCGATAACGTACCTCGCGAAGGCCAAGGGCCGCAGGGCGGTGGGCAGCATGAGCGAGGCCCTGAGGGCGGGCGGCGGCCGGAGAACAGTCCACCGCGTCCCGAGAACCCTCAACCACGCCCGCAGAACGAGCATTATGAACGCGGCGGCCCGAAAGGCGGCGGTCAATGGCAGGCGCGGCCACAAGGCAACGAGCAGGCGCGGCCGGCGCCGCAGCCGTCGAATAACCTGCCGATCCAGGGGCGCCCCGATACCGTGCGCCAGACCCAGGAGCCGCGCCAGGGTTACTACCGTGACATACCTCGACGCAGCGACGACAACCGCCATTGGGAGGCCGGCGGCCCCGGTTCGCGCCCCGGCTACAACGGGCATCCGGATGACCATCGCTGGCCTGGCCGCCCCGATGGTCACGGTAATGGCTGGGGCCCCGGCCCGCAGTACCGTCCGGGTTATGTGGTGGACCGCTTTCCCGACCGCAACTACCGCGTGCCCTATCGCGGCCAGGACTACTTCTTCTCCGGCGGTTACTGGTATCGCCCCCAAGGCCCGCGCTATGTGGTGGTTGCGCCGCCGTATGGCATCCGCGTGCATTACCTGCCGGACTATGCGCGGGAAGTGTGGGTCGGCGGTTCGCTGCTGTTCCTCGCCGCCGGCGCTTATTACGCCTACGAAGAAAGCACCCAGCAATACGTGGTGGTGCAGCCGCCGGCAGCGGTTCCCGCGCCGCAGCCTGCGCCCCAGGGCAATGGTTATGACGTGGTGGCCTATCCCGCCAATGGCCAATCACCGGCCCAGGTGCAACAGGACGGTTATGACTGTTATCGCTGGGCGGTGCAGCAAAGCGGCTTCGACCCCCAGGCCGTCACCTACGCACCCGACCCGGCGGTGGTGCAGACCTACCGCCAGGCCCAAGGCAACTGCCTGAGCAGTCGCGGCTATCAGGTGCAGTACTAATCCTTGGCGCCTGTGACCACTTCCTGCGGGTCGGCGTGTACCAACACTTCGGCGCGCGGGTAGGCGGCGTGAATGGCGTCGGCGGCCTGGTCGCTGATGCCGTGAGCTACTGACAGGCTCAGATCCCCCGGCAGTTCCAGGTGCAACTGCACAAACCAATGGTTGCCCGATACCCGCGTGCGCAGGTCATGGGCGCCCAGCACGCCTGGCACGCCACGGGCCAGTTCCAGCATGTGCTGGCTGACCTCCGGCGGCAATTCCTCGTCCATCAGCACCGCAAAGCTTTCCCGGGCGATATGGATCGCGCTCCACAAAATGTAAGCCGCAATCCCCAGGCCGAACCAAGCATCCACCTGATGCCAGCCCATGGCCGCCAGCACCAACGCCAGCAGGATGCTGCCGTTGAGCAGCAAGTCCGAGCGGTAGTGCAATGAGTCGGCGCGCACCGCGTTGGAGCCGGTTTCACGGACCACCCGGTGTTGCAGCGTCAGTAACCCCACGGTCAGCAGCAGAGAGAACACGATCACACCGATGCTCAGCCACGGCGCCCCTACCGGTTCCGGATGCTGCAAGCGTTCATAAGCCTGCAATGCAATCAGCACCGCACTGCCACTGATAAACAGCGCCTGGGCCATGCCCGACAGCGATTCCGCCTTGCCATGCCCATAGCGGTGATCGTCGTCGGCCGGCCGCAGCGCGTAATGGACTGCGAGTAGGTTCAGCAGCGACGTCACGCCGTCCAGCAACGAGTCGGTCAAGCCCGCGAGCATGCTCACCGAGCCGCTGAACCACCAGGCGATAGCCTTGGTAACAATCAATACGCAGGCGACCGCCACTGACGCACGGGTCGCCAGGCGCAACAGGCGGGCGTGTTCGGGACTGCTGATCATGGGCAGTCCTTACGCGGCGGGTTGCAGGCCGAGGGCGGCAAGTTGCTGCACGCTGCCCTTGAACTGGATCAGGCGCGGGTCGTCCAGCGGCAGGCTGTGGCCGGTTTCTTTCTGGATGATGCTTTGCAGCTTGGCGTTGTCGACCTGGCCGTCGGCGCCGATGGCTTCGTGGAGTTTTTCCGGGGCGACCTGGGCAGTCTTGCCCGGTTCGAAATAGATCGCGCCCGTGGCGAAGTCGACGCCAAACGCGATCAGGCCGGGGATCACATAAAACAGCAGGCCCACGGCGTCGAGCACGGCAATGGCCGGGTCGATCTTGCCGTCGATCTGACCACGGCGGTCGGGGTAGAAGATCGAACCGCAGGCGGTCAATTGGCTGAGCAGGGTGACGGCTAAAACACCGCCGATGACACGGGAAGCGATACGCATGGACAAGCTCCTCAACAGGGTTGATACGCGACTATATAACACCGGCCTTGAGACCAGCGTCGGCATCCGGCAGTTCGCCGTTATACTCGCCGCTCTGCTTTGGAGCCAGTATGAATTCGTTGCCCATCGATGATGTTTTACCCGCCCTGCGTGACGCTTTGGCCAATCGCCATGAAGCCGTGCTCGAAGCACCGCCCGGCGCCGGTAAAACCACCCGCGTGCCCTTGGCCTTATTAAATGAAACGTGGCTGGCCGGGCAGACCATCCTGATGCTCGAACCGCGGCGCCTGGCCGCCCGCGCCGCCGCCGAACGCCTGGCCAGCGAACTGGGGGAAAAGGTTGGCGACACCGTCGGCTATCGCATCCGCCTCGACAGCAAGGTCGGCCCCAACACGCGTATCGAAGTGGTCACCGAAGGTATTCTCACGCGGCGCTTGCAGGACGACCCGGCGCTGGAGGGCGTGGGCCTGCTGATCTTCGATGAATTTCACGAGCGCAGTCTCGACGCCGACCTGGCCCTGGCCCTGAGCCTGAAC